ACAGCTGTCCCTGTGTGTGGGCGTGGCCTAGGGGACACCCCCAGTGACAGCTGTCCCTGTGTGTGGGTGTGGCCTAGGGGACACCCCCAGTGACAGCTGTCCCTGTGTGTGGGCGTGGCCTAGGGGACACCCCCAGTGACAGCTGTCCCTGTGTGTGGGTGTGGCCTAGGGGACACCCCCAGTGACAGCTGTCTCTGTGTGTGGGCGTGGCCTAGGGGACACCCCCAGTGACCGCTGTCCCTGTGTGTGGGTGTGGCCTAGAGGACACCCCCAGTGACAGCTGTCCCTGTGTGTGGGTGTGGCCTAGGGGACACCCCCAGTGACAGCTGTCCCTGTGTGTGGGCGTGGCCTAGGGGACACCCCCAGTGACAGCTGTCCCTGTGTGTGGGCGTGGCCTAGGGGACACCCCCAGTGACAGCTGTCCCTGTGTGTGGGTGTGTAGGTGGAGTTGCTTGGCTGTGATCAACCCCACATCCTGACTGTGCCCATCCGCGTGGAGGCGATGGGCTGACAGATTCCTCACTACCATCATCCTCACCACCATCATCCTCACCACCATCATCCTCACCACCATCATCCTCACCACGTTCATCCTCACCACCATCATCCTCACCACCATCATCCTCACCACCATCATCCTCACCACCATCATCCTCACCACCATCATCCTCACCACCTTCACCCTCACCATCATCCTCACCACCATCATCCTCACCACCTTCATCCTCACCACCATCATCCTCACCACCATCATCCTCACCACCATCATCCTCACCACCATCATCCTCACCACCATCATCCTCACCACCATCATCCTCACCACCATCATCCTCACCACCTTCATCCTCACCACCATCATTCTCACCACCATCATCCTCACCATCTTCATCCTCACCACCATCATCCTCACCACCTTCATCCTCACCACCATCATCCACACAACCTTCATCCTCACCACCTCCATCCTCACCACCATCATCCTCACCACCATCATCCTCACCACCATCATCCTCACCACCTTCATCCTCACCACCACCATCCTCACCACCATCATCCTCACCACCATCATCCTCACCACCTTCATTCTCACCACCATCATCCTCACCACCTTCATCCTCACCACCATCATCCTCACCACCATCATCCTCACCACCATCATCCTCACCACCATCATCCTCACCACCTTCATTCTCACCACCATCATCCTCACCACCATCATCCTCACCACCATCATTCTCACCACCATCATCCTCACCACCATCATCCTCACCACCATCATCCTCACCACCATCATCCTCACCACCATCTCCATCCACACCACCATCATCCTCACCACCATCATCCTCACCACCATCATCCTCACCACCATCATCCTCACCACCTTCATCCTCACCACCATCATCCTCACCACCATCATTCTCACCACCATCATCCTCACCACCATCATCCTCACCACCATCATCCTCACCACCATCTCCATCCTCACCACCATCATCCTCACCACCATCATCCTCACCACCGTCATCCTCATCACACCATCCTCACCACCTTCATCCTCACCACCATCATCCTCACCACCATCATCCTCACCACCTCTCTCACCAACTCACCCCGTGAAGAGTTAAAACCACATTGATGAAGAGTCTTGGTGGTGGTGATGGTTGTGATTTTGATGCTGGTGGTCGTGGTTGTGATGGTGATTGTGATGGTTGTGATGATGGCGGTGGAGGTTGTGGTGTTGGTGGTGGTTGTGGTGATTTTCATGGTTGTGGTGATGGTGGTAGTGATGGTTGTGGTGATGGTGTTGGTGATTCTGGTGGTGGGGAGCGGTGGTGCAGTGGTTAGCGCTACGCTGCACTACGAACCCGGGTGACCCAAGTTCAATTCCCGCTCACGGCCACCGCCACCACCACCACCACAATCACCACAACCATCACCACCACTACTACCACCACTACAACCATCACCACCACCATCACCACCACTACTACCACCACTACAACCATCACCACCACTCCCACCACCACCATCACCACCACTACTACCATCACCACAACCATCACCACCACCACTACTACCACCACTACAACCATCACTACTACCACCACTACAACCATCACCACTCCCACCACCACCACTCCCACCACCACCATCACCACCACTACTACCACCACTATAACCATCACCACCATCACCACCACCACTCCCACCACCACCACCATCACCACTACTACTACCACCACTACAACCATCACCACCACCACTCCCACCACCACCATCACCACCACTACAACCAACACCACCACCACTCCCACCACCACCACTCCCACCAGCACCACTCCCATCACCACCACTACTACCACCACTACCATCACCACTCCCACCACTCCCACCACCACCACTACTACTACCACCACTACAACCATCACCACCACCACTCCCACCAGCACCACTCCCACCACCACTCCCATCACCACCACTCCCATCACCACCACTCCTACCACCATCACCACCACTACTACCACCACTACAACCATCACCACCACTCCCACCACCACCACCATCACCACTACTACTACCACCACTACAACCATCACCACCACCACTCCCACCACCATCACCACCACTACAACCATCACCACCACCACTACTACCACCACCGCCACTACTACCACCACCACCACAACAATCACCACCACCATCACCACCACTACTACCACCACTACAACCATCACCACCATCACCACCACTACTACCACCACCACTACAACCATCACCACCACCACTCCCACCACCACCATTACTACCACCACTACAACCATCACCACCAATCCTACCACCACCACTCCCACCATCACCACCAGTGAGAGCGATTATCTGAACCGGTCCTGGGCCTCCCCTAGGTCGACTCAGCCTCAAATGAGTACCTGGTGCGGTGTGTAGAGAGACAAAGGCGGCCGGGCGTGGTGCTGGCCACCCACCCCCTCTGTGTGTGCCACAGTGCCGGTAGCCTTCATAGGCGCTGCTACTAGCAGCACTTGCCCCTACAGCCCTGCTAGAGGCTACCTGGGGGAGCTTTGTCTGTGTGTGCATCATAGGTGGTGCTACTCGCCACTAGCAGCACTTGCCCCTACAGCCCTGCTAGAGGCTACCCGGGGGAGCTTTGTCTTGGGGGGGGGTTGGTAATTATCCTGGCGGTGGTAACGGATTTGGTGATGATGGTGATGTTGGTGATTTGGTGATGGTCTTGATGTTGGTGATGATGTTGGTGATGGTAATGGAGTTGGTGATTTGGTGATGGTCTTGATGTTGGTGATGAAGTTGGTGATTTGGTGATGGTCTTGATGATGGTGATGTTGGTGATGGTCTTGATGATGGTGATGTTGGTGATGGTCTTGATGATGGTGATGATGTTGGTGGTGGTGATGATGATGTGTGATGGTGTTGTACCATCCTCTTGCCATCGTTGCAGACATTAAAGATCACTCCAAAAGCACCTCAATGATGAGTCTGTGGGTCTCTGTGTGGTGGTGGTGAGTCTGTGGGTCTCTGTGTGGTGGTGGTGAGTCTGTGGGTCTCTGTGTGGTGGTGGTGAGTCTGTGGGTCTCTGTGTGGTGATGAGTCTATGGGTCTCTGTGTGGTGGTGGTGAGTCTATGGGTCTCTGTGTGGTGGTGGTGAGTCTGTGGGTCTCTGTGTGGTGGTGGTGAGTCTGTGGGTCTCTGTGTGGTGGTGGTGAGTCTGTGGGTCTCTGTGGTGGTGGTGAGTCTGTGGGGCTCTGTGTGGTGGTGGTGAGTCTGTGGGTCTCTGTGTGGTGGTGGTGAGTCTGTGGGTCTCTGTGTGGTGGTGAGTCTGTGGGTCTCTGTGTGGTGGTGAGTCTATGGGTCTCTGTGTGGTGATGAGTCTGTGGGTCTCTGTGTGGTGATGAGTCTATGGGTCTCTGTGTGGTGATGAGTCTATGGGTCTCTGTGTGGTGGTGAGTCTATGGGTCTCTGTGTGGTGGTGCTGAGTCTATGGGTCTCTGTGTAGTGGTGGTGAGTCTATGGGTCTCTGTGTGGTGGTGAGTCTATGGGTCTCTGTGTGGTGGTGGTGAGTCTATGGGTCTCTGTGTGGTGGTGGTGAGTCTGTGGGTCTCTGTGTGGTGGTGGTGAGTCTGTGGGTCTCTGTGTGGTGGTGGTGGTGAGTCTGTGGGTCTCTGTGTGGTGGTGGTGAGTCTGTGGGTCTCTGTGTGGTGGTGGTGAGTCTGTGGGTCTGTGTGGTGGTGGTGGTGAGTCTGTGGGTCTGTGTGGTGGTGGTGAGTCTGTGGGTCTCACTGTCAAGGTGTCACTAATTGCGAACAGACAGCACGGGACACTTTTTAAATTATCCACGTATCATTTAAAAGTCGATTAAACAACAATCATACAAGAACGGCAAGGTTTAGACACGATCGCGACGAGAGGAGAGAGACACAGAGAGACAGAGAGAGAGAGACACAGAGACATACAGAGAGAGACAGAAACACAGAGAGAGAGACAGAGAATGACAGAGAGAGAGAGACAGAGAGACAGAAACAGAGACAGAGACAGACCTCCTGCATATCAGGCGAGGTAGCCAACATCTCATAGCCACCGTGATGATGATGAGAGAGACACAGACCTCCTGTATACCAGGCGAGGTAATCAACATCTCATAGTCACCGTGATGATGATGATGAGAGAGACACAGACCTCCTGTATACCAGGCGAGGTAGTCAACATCTCATTCAGCTGCCCGCTCACGACGAAGCCACAACCACCACTCCCTCCATCACCATCACCACCACCATCATCACCATCATCACCACCATCACCATCATCACCACCATCATCATCACCATCACCACCACCATCACCACCATTACCACCATCATCACCATCATCACCACCACCATCACCACCACCACCATCATCATCACCATCACCACCACCATCATCATCATCACCACCATCACCATCACCACCACCGTCACCACCATCACTACCATCATCATCACCACCATCATCGCCGCCATCACCACCACCATCACTACCATCACCATCACCACCACCACCGCCATCCTCCCATCACCGCGCCCCCATCACGAAGCTCGGCTCCTCAGCATCGTCCTCCGCACTCTCCGCGCCTGATGATGACGATGACGAAGCTGCGCTGGGATGAGTGGGAGCTGGGGGGGTGAGGGGGGAGGGCGTTACCGTGACGACCACGGTGAGAGGTGATGGTGGTGATGGTGGTGGTGATGGTGGTGATGGTGGTGATGGTGGTGGTGGTGATGGTGGTGGTGTTGTTGGTGGTGGTGATGGTGGTGGTGGTGATGATGATGATGATGGTGGTGGTGGTGCTGGTGCTGGTAGTGGTGTTGGTGGTGATGGTGTTGATGGTGTTGTTGGTGGTGATGATGTTGTTGGTGGTGATGATGTTGTTGGTGGTGGTGATGTTGTTGGTGGTGGTGTTGGTGGTGGTGCTGGTGTTGTTGGTGGTGTTGTTGTTGGTGATGGTGTTGTTGTTGTTGTTTTGGTTGTGTTGTTGTTGGTGTTGTTGGTGTTGTTGTTGGTGGTGATGGTGTTGTTGGTTGTGGTGTTGTTGGTGTTGTTGTTGTTGGTGTGGGTGCATCACAGGCGGTGTGCCACTCACCGTTGTCTCCCACCTTGGCCACCTTAGCAGCCAACTTCTTCTGTTTTAGTTTCCACCTGCAGCAGAGCACGGGGACACCAACCCACCATCACCCACCCACCCACCATCACCCACCCACCATCACCCACCCACCATCACCCACCCACCCACCATCACCCACCCACCATCACCCACCCACCATCACCCACCCACCATCACCACCCACCATCACTCACCCACCATCAACACCACCCACCCACCATCACCCACCCACTATGACCCAGCCACCATCACCCAGCCACCATCACCCAGCCACCATCACCCAGCCACCATCACCCACCCACCATCACCACCCACCATCACCACCCACCATCACCCACCCACCATCACCACCCACCCACCATCACCCACCCACCATCACCCACCCACTATCACCCAGCCACCATCACCCAGCCACCATCACCCAGCCACCATCACCCACCCACCATCACCACCCACCCACCATCACCCACCCACTATCACCCAGCCACCCACCATCACCCACCCACCATCACCCAGCCACCATCACCCACCCACCATCACCCACCCACCATCACCCACCCACCATCACCCACCCACCATCACCACCCACCATCACCCACCCACCATCACCCACCCACCATCACCCACCCACCATCACCCAGCCACCATCACCCAGCCACCATCACCCACCCACCATCACCCACCCACCATCACCCACCCACCATCACCCAGCCACCATCAACACCACACACCCACCCCCACCCACCATCACCCACCCACCATCACCACCCACCACCACCCACCCACCATCACCCACCCACCATCAACACCACCCACCATCAACACCACCCACCATCAACACCACCCACCCACCACCACCCACCCACCATCAACACCACCCACTCAGCATCAACACCACCCACCCACCATCACCCACCCACCATCAACACCACCCACCCACCATCACCCACCCACCGTCAACACCACCCATCCACCATCAACACCACCCACCATCAATTCCACCCACCATCAACCCCACCCACCCACCATCAACCCCACCCACCATCACCCACCCACCGTCAACACCACCCACCCACCATCACCCACCCACCATCAACATCACCCACCCACCCACCATCAACATCACCCACCCACCATCAATACCACCCACCCCCACCCACCATCACCCACCCACCGTCACCACACACCGTCACCACCCACCATCACCCACCCACCATCACCCACCCACCATCACCCAGCCACCATCACCCACCCACCATCACCCACCCACCATCACCCACCCACCATCACCCACCATCACCCACCCACCATCAACCCCACCCACCCACAACACCACCCACCCACCATAAACACCACCCACCCACCATCAACACCACCCACCCACCATCAACATCACCCACCCACCATCAATACCACCCACCACCACCCACCCACCATCACCCACCACCACCCACTATCAACACCACCCACTATCAACACCACCCACCCACCACCACCCACCCACCATCAACACCACCCACCATCAACACCACCCACCCACCATCACCCACCCACCATCACCCACCCACCATCAACACCACACACCCACCCCCACCCACCATCACCCACCCACCATCACCACCCACCACCACCCACCCACCATCACCCACCCACCATCAACACCACACACCATCAACACCACCCACCATCAACACCACCCACCCACCACCACCTACCCACCATCACCCACCCACCATCAACACCACCCACCCAGCATCAACACCACCCACCCACCATCAACCACCCACCATCAACACCACCCACCCACCATCACCCACCCACCGTCAACACCACCCATCCACCATCAACACCACCCACCATCAATTCCACCCACCATCAACCCCACCCACCCACCATCACCCCCACCCACCATCACCCACCCACCGTCAACACCACCCACCCACCATCACCCACCCACCATCAACATCACCCACCCACCCACCATCAACATCACCCACCCACCATCAATACCACCCACCACCACCCACCATCACCCACCCACCGTCACCACCCACCGTCACCACCCACCATCACCCACCCACCATCACCCACCCACCATCACCCACCCACCATCACCCAGCCACCATCACCCACCCACCATCACCCACCCACCATCACCCACCCACCATCACCCACCCACCATCACCCACCATCACCCACCCACCATCAACCCCACCCACCCACAACACCACCCACCCACCATCAACACCACCCACCCACCATCAACACCACCCACCCACCATCACCCACCCACCATCAACATCACCCACCCACCATCAATACCACCCACCACCACCCACCCACCATCACCCACCATCAACACCACCCACCATCACCCACCCACCATCAACACCACCCACTATCAACACCACCCACCCACCACCACCCACCCACCATCAACACCACCCACCATCAACACCACCCACCCACCACCATCCACCCACCATCACCCACCCACCGTCAACACCACCCACCCACCATCAACACCACCAACCATCAACACCACCCACCCACCATCACCCACCCACCATCAACATCACCCACCCACCATCAATACCACCCACCACCACCCACCCACCATCACCCACCACCACCCACCCACCATCAACACCACCCACCATCACCCACCCACCATCAACACCACCCACTATCAACACCACCCACCCACCACCACCCACCCACCATCAACACCACCCACCATCAACACCACCCACCCACCACCATCCACCCACCGTCAACACCACCCACCCACCATCAACACCACCCACCCACCATCAACCCCACCCACCCACAACACCACTCACCATCAACCCCACCCACCATCAACACCACCCACCCACCGTCAACCCCACCCACCCACCATCAACTCCACCCACCATCAACTCCACCCACCATCAATTCCACCCACCATCAACCCCACACACCATCAACCCCACCCACCCACGTGATCCCCACCCACCCACGTGACCCCCACCCACCCACCGTGACCCCCACCCACCCACCGTGACCCCCACCCACCCACGTGACCCCCACCCACCCGACCCCCACCCACCCACCCGACCCCCACCCACCCACCCACGTGACCCCACCCACGTGACCCCAACCACACACCCACGTGACCCCACCCACACCCACGTGACCCCACCCACACACCCACGTGACCCCACCCACCCACGTGACCCCACCCACCCACGTGACCCCCCACCCACCCACGTGACCCCCACCCACCCACGTGACCCCCCCCACCCACCCACGTGACCCCCACCCACCCACCCACGTGACCCCACCCACCCACCCACGTGACCCACACCCACCCACCCACGTGACCCACACCCACCCACCCACGTGACCCCACCCACCCACGTGACCCCCACCCACCCACATGACCCCACCCACCCACCCACGTGACCCCCACCCACCCACGTGACCCCACCCACCCACCCACGTGACCCCACCCACCCACGTGACCCCACCCACGTGACCCCAACCACACACCCACGTGACCCCACCCACACCCACGTGACCCCACCCACACACCCACGTGACCCCACCCACCCACGTGACCCCACCCACCCACGTGACCCCCCACCCACCCACGTGACCCCCACCCACCCACGTGACCCCCCCCACCCACCCACGTGACCCCCACCCACCCACCCACGTGACCCCACCCACCCACCCACGTGACCCACACCCACCCACCCACGTGACCCCCACCCACCCACGTGACCCCACCCACCCACGTGACCCCCACCCACCCACATGACCCCACCCACCCACGTGACCCCACCCACCCACGTGACCCCACCCACCCACGTGACCCCACCCACCCACGTGACCCCCACCCACCCACGTGACCCCCACCCACCCACGTGACCCCCACCCACCCACCCACGTGACTGCCTCCTCACCGTTTCAGCGTCTTCCTCGCTGTCTGTTTCTCTCCTTTCAGCTTATTGTGCTGCAGCTTCTTCACAAAGTCCTCGTCCTGCTTGGTCTACATCATCATCATCATCACCATCATCATCACGATCACCATCACCATCATCACTATCATCATCACCATCATCATCACCACCACCACCATCATCATCACCACCATCACCACCATCATCATCATCACCACCACCATCACCATCATCACCATCATCACCACCATCATCATCACCATCATCATCACCATCACCATCATCACCACCATCATCACCATCATCATCATCACCACCATCACCACCATCATCATCACCATCACCATCATCACCACCATCATCATCACCATCATCACCACCATCATCATCACCATCATCACCATCATCATCACCATCATCATCACCATCATCATCACCATCATCATCACCATCATCATCACCCTCATCATCATCACCATCATCATCATCAGCATCATCACCACCATCACCACCCATCATCATCACCATCATCATCATCACCATCATCATCAACATCATCACCATCATCATCACCATCATCATCATCACCACCATCATCATCATCACCATCATCATCATCACCATCATCATCACCACCATCATCACCACCATCATCACCACCATCATCATCACCACCATCATCACCACCATCATCACCATCACCACCACCATCATCAGCACCATCTTCATCACCACCATCATCATCATCATCACCACCACCATCATCACCATCATCATCATCACCACCATCATCAGCAACATCACCACCACCATCATCACCACCACCATCATCACCATCAGCATCACCACCATCATCACCATCAGCAGCAGCATCATCATCACCATCATCATCAGCGCCATCACCACCATCATCACCATCATCATCAGCATAATCATCATCAGCAGCAGCAGCAGTAGTAGGCGAGTGTCTGGGTAGAAGAGTGTCAGGGTAGGTGAGTGGGTAGGTGAGTGGGTAGGTGAGTGGGTAGGTGAGTGGGTAGGTGAGTGGGTAGGTGAGTAGGTGAGTGGGTAGGTGAGTGGGTAGGTGAGTGGGTAGGTGAGTGGGTAGGTGAGTGGGTAGGTGAGTGGGTAGGTGAGTGTCTGTGTAGGTGAGTAGGTGAGTGGGTAGGTGAGTGGGTGAGTGGGTAGGTGAATGGGTAGGTGAGTGGGTAGGTGAGTGTCTGTGTAGGTGAGTAGGTGAGTGGGTAGGTGAGTGTCTGTGCAGGTGAGTGTGTAGGTGAGTGGGTAGGTGAGTGTCTGTGTAGGCGAGTGGGTAGGTGAGTGGGTAGGTGAGTGGGTAGGTGAGTGTCTGTGTAGGTGAGTGGGTAGGTGAGTGGGTAGGTGAGTGGGTAGGTGAGTGTCTGTGTAGGTGAGTAGGTGAGTGGGTAGGTGAGTGGGTGAGTGGGTAGGTGAGTGGGTAGGTGAGTGGGTAGGTGAGTGTCTGTGTAGGTGAGTAGGTGAGTGGGTAGGTGAGTGTCTGTGTAGGTGGGTGTGTAGGTGAGTGGTTAGGTGAGTGGGTAGGTGAGTGTGTAGGTGAGTGGGTAGGTGAGTGGGTGAGTGTGTAGGTGAGTGGGTAGGTGAGTGGGTGAGTGGGTAGGTGAGTGGGTAGGTGAGTGGGTGAGTGGGTAGGTGAGTGGGTAGGTGAGTGTGTAGGTGAGTGTGTAGGTGAGTGTGTAGGTGAGTGTGTAGGTGAGTGTGTAGGTGAGTGGGTGAGTGTGTAGGTGAGTGGGTGAGTGTGGACGTGAGTGGGTGAGTGTGTAGGTGAGTGGGTAGGTGAGTGTGTAGGTGAGTGAGTAGGTGGGTGGGTGAGTGTGTAGGTGAGTGAGTAGGTGGGTGGGTGAGTGTGTAGGTGAGTGAGTAGGTGAGTAGGTGAGTGTGTAGGTGAGTGTGTAGGTGAGTGGGTGAGTGTGTAGGTGAGTGGGTGAGTGGGTGAGTGGGTAGGTGAGTGGGTGAGTGTGTAGGTGAGTGGGTGAGTGGGTGAGTGGGTAGGTGAGTGGGTAGGTGAGTGGGTAGGTGAGTGGGTGAGTGTGTAGGTGAGTGGGTAGGTGAGTGGGTGAGTGTGTAGGTGAGTGGGTGAGTGGGTAGGTGAGTGTGTAGGTGAGTGGGTAGGTGAGTGGGTGAGTGTGTAGGTGAGTGGGTGAGTGGGTGAGTGGGTAGGTGAGTGGGTAGGTGAGTGGGTAGGTGAGTGGGTGAGTGTGTAGGTGAGTGGGTGAGTGTGTAGGTGAGTGGGTGAGTGTGTAGGTGAGTGGGTGAGTGTGTATGTGAGCAGTTGAGTGTGTAGGTGAGTGGGTAGGTGAGTGGGTGAGTGTGTAGGTGAGTGGGTAGGTGAGTGTGTAGGTGAGTAGGTGAGTGGGTAGGTGAGTGGGTAGGTGAGTGGGTAGGTGAGTGGGTAGGTGAGTGGGTAGGTGAGTGTGTAGGTGAGTGGGTGAGTGTGTAGGTGAGTGGGTAGGTGAGTGGGTGAGTGTGTAGGTGAGTGGGTAGGTGAGTGGGTGAGTGTGTAGGTGAGTGGGTGAGTGTGTAGGTGAGTGTGTAGGTGAGTGTGTAGGTGAGTGGGTGAGTGTGTAGGTGAGTGGGTAGGTGAGTGGGTGAGTGGGTAGGTGAGTGGGTAGGTGAGTGTGTAGGTGAGTGTGTAGGTGAGTGTGTAGGTGAGTGTGTAGGTGAGTGTGTAGGTGAGTGTGTAGGTGAGTGTGTAGGTGAGTGTGTAGGTGAGTGGGTAGGTGAGTGGGTAGGTGAGTGGGTAGGTGAGTGTGTAGGTGAGTGTGTAGGTGAGTGTGTAGGTGAGTGTGTAGGTGAGTGTGTAGGTGAGTGGGTAGGTGAGTGGGTAGGTGAGTGGGTAGGTGAGTGGGTGAGTGGGTAGGTGAGTGGGTAGGTGAGTGGGTGAGTGGGTAGGTGAGTGGGTGAGTGTGTAGGTGAGTGTGTAGGTGAGTGGGTAGGTGAGTGTGTAGGTGAGTGGGTAGGTGAGTGTGTAGGTGAGTGGGTAGGTGAGTGGGTAGGTGAGTGGGTAGGTGAGTGGGTAGGTGAGTGTGTAGGTGAGTGTGTAGGTGTGTGGGTAGGTGAGTGTCTGTGTAGGTGAGTGGGTGAGTGTGTAGGTGAGTGGGTAGGTGAGTGGGTAGGTGAGTGGGTGAGTAGGTGAGTGGGTAGGTGAGTGTGTAGGTGAGTGGGTAGGTGAGTGGGTAGGTGAGTGGGTAGGTGAGTGGGTAGGTGAGTGTGTAGGTGAGTGTGTAGGTGAGTGGGTAGGTGAGTGTGTAGGTGAGTGGGTAGGTGAGTGGGTAGGTGAGTGGGTAGGTGAGTGGGTGAGTGGGTGAGTGGGTAGGTGAGTGGGTAGGTGAGTGGGTGAGTGGGTGAGTGTGTAGGTGAGTGTGTAGGTGAGTGTGTAGGTGAGTGGGTAGGTGAGTGGGTGAGTGTGTAGGTGAGTGTGTAGGTGAGTGGGTAGGTGAGTGGGTGAGTGGGTAGGTGAGTGGGTAGGTGAGTGGGTAGGTGAGTGGGTGAGTGGGTAGGTGAGTGGGTGAGTGGGTAGGTGAGTGTGTAGGTGAGTGGGTGAGTGTGTAGGTGAGTGGGTAGGTGAGTGGGTGAGTGTGTAGGTGAGTGGGTAGGTGAGTGTGTAGGTGAGTGGGTAGGTGAGTGGGTAGGTGAGTGGGTGAGTGGGTAGGTGAGTGGGTAGGTGAGTGGGTAGGTGAGTGGGTGAGTGGGTAGGTGAGTGGGTAGGTGAGTGGGTAGGTGAGTGTGTAGGTGAGTGGGTAGGTGAGTGGGTAGGTGAGTGGGTGAGTGGGTAGGTGAGTGGGTAGGTGAGTGTGTAGGTGAGTGTGTAGGTGAGTGGGTAGGTGAGTGTGTAGGTGAGTGGGTAGGTGAGTGGGTGAGTGTGTAGGTGAGTGGGTGAGTGGGTAGGTGAGTGGGTGAGTGGGTAGGTGAGTGGGTAGGTGAGTGGGTAGGTGAGTGGGTAGGTGAGTGTGTAGGTGAGTAGGTGAGTAGGTGGGTGGGTGAGTGTGTAGGTGAGTGTGTAGGTGAGTGTGTAGGTGAGTGTGTAGGTGAGTGTGTAGGTGAGTGTGTAGGTGAGTGGGTGAGTGGGTAGGTGAGTGGGTAGGTGAGTGGGTGAGTGTGTAGGTGAGTGTGTAGGTGGGTGGGTGAGTGTGTAGGTGAGTGTGTAGGTGAGTGGGTGAGTGGGTAGGTGAGTGGGTAGGTGAGTGTGTAGGTGAGTGGGTGAGTGTGTAGGTGAGTGGGTGAGTGTGTAGGTGAGTGTGTAGGTGAGTGGGTACTCACCTTGCTCGCCTGCCGTTCGTGGTACTCCTGCCGGACGTACTCACGACGCCGGATGTGACGGTAGACGTGGAACTCACCGCTCCCGGCACCGGCACTCGAACCTGGCACAGCCGCAACAACAACAACCACCACCACCACTACTACAACCACCACCACTACAACCACCACCACCACTACAACCACCACCACCACTACAACCACCACCACTACAACCACCACCACCACCACTACAACCACCACCACCACTACAACCACCACCACTACAACCACCACCACCACTACAACCACCACCACCACTACAACCACCACCACTACTACAACCACCACCACTACTACAACCACCACCACCACCACTACTACAACCACCACCACCACCACTACAACCACCACCACCACCACCTCACCACCACCACCACCACACTCCACCACACTCCACCAACACCACCTCACCACCACCAAGTCACCACCACCTCACCACCACCTCACCACCACCACCACTTCACCACCTCACCACCACCACCACTACAACCACCACCACCACAACAACCACTACAACCACCACCACCTCACCACCACCTCACCCGCGACGTCGCTCACCCGCGACGTCGCTCACCCGCGACGTCACTCACCCGCGACGTCACTCACCCGCGACGTCACTCACCCGCGACGTCACTCACCCGCGACGTCACTCACCCGCGACGTCACTCACCCGCGACGTCACTCACCCATGACGTCACTCACCCATGACGTCGCTCACCCGCGACGTCGCTCACCCGCGACGTCGCTCACCCGCGACGTCGCTCACCCGCGACGTCGCTCACCCGCGACGTCGCTCACCCGCGACGTCGCTCACCCATGACGTCACTCACCCATGACGTCACTCACCCATGACGTCACTCACCCGTGACGTCACTCACCCGTGACGTCACTCACCCGTGAAGTCACTCACCCGTGACGTCACTCACCCGTGACGTCACTCACCCGCGACGTCACTCACCCGCGACGTCACTCACCCATGACGTCACTCACCCGTGACGTCACTCACCCGTGACGTCACTCACCCGTGACGTCACTCACCCGTGACGTCACTCACCCGTGACGTCACTCACCCGTGACGTCACTCACCCGTGACGTCACTCACCCGTGACGTCGCTCACCCGTGACGTCGCTCACCCGCGACGTCGCTCACCCGTGACGTCACTCACCCGTGACGTCGCTCACCCGTGACGTCGCTCACCCGCGACGTCGCTCACCCATGACGTCGCTCACCCATGACGTCACTCACCCATGACGTCACTCACCCATGACGTCACTCACCCATGACGTCACTCACCCATGACGTCACTCACCCATGACGTCACTCACCCACGAAGTCACTCACCCGCGACGTCACTCACCCGCGACGTCACTCACCCATGACGTCACTCACCCATGACGTCACTCACCCATGACGTCACTCACCCATGACGTCACTCACCCATGACGTCACTCACCCATGACGTCACTCACCCATGACGTCACTCACCCGTGACGTCGCTCACCCGTGACGTCGCTCACCCGCGACGTCGCTCACTCGTGACGTCACTCACCCGTGACGTCACTCACCCGTGACGTCGCTCACCCGTGACGTCGCTCACCCGTGACGTCGCTCACCCGTGACGTCGCTCACCCGCGACGTCGCTCACCCGCGACGTCGCTCACCCATGACGTCGCTCACCCATGACGTCACTCACCCATGACGTCACTCACCCATGACGTCACTCACCCATGACGTCACTCACCCATGACGTCACTCACCCATGACGTCACTCACCCGCGACGTCACTCACCCGCGACGTCACTCACCCGCGACGTCACTCACCCGCGACGTCACTCACCCATGACGTCACTCACCCATGACGTCACTCACCCATAACGTCACTCACCAATGACGTCACTCACCCATGACGTCACTCACCCATGACGTCACTCACCCATGACGTCACTCACCCATGACGTCACTCACCCATGACGTCACTCACCCATGACGTCACTCACCCATGACGTCACGCACAAACTCAGGGGGCGCCTTGGGGGCCCAGGAGCGTGGGCCCTCAGGGATGTTCACCGGCTTGTCCTGCACACACGCACACGTATACACATACACATACATACACACACTCATACACACGTACACACACGTACACATACGCACACACGTACACACGTACACACATACACACACACACACTTTCACTAACACACATACACACACACGTACACACATACACATACACTCACATACACACACTCACATACACTCACACATACACATACATACACACACATACATACACACACACATACACATACATACACACACTCACACTCATACGCACACGTACACACACATACATACACACTTTCACACTTTCACTCACATACACACATACATACATACACACATACATACACACACATACACATATACACACTTTCACTCACACACTCATACACATACACGTACACACACACTCACATACATACACACTTTCACTCACACACACACACGTACACACACATACACATACACACACACACACACACTCCCATACACACTTTCACACACATACACACACACTCACATACACACTTTCACACGTACACACACATACACACATACACACACACATACACACATACACACACTCCCATACACACTTTCACACACATACACACACACTCACATACACACTTTCACTCACACACACACACACACACGTACACACACACTCACTTACACACTTTCACTCACACACACGTACACACCTTCACTCACACACTCACACACTCACACACACGTACACACCTTCACTCACACACACACACTCACACACATGTACAACAACAACCGCCATTCGCCACTAAGTGGCGGTGACGTCACCACGACGCTTGTGCCAGGCTATGTGCACCCTGAGGCCACGTGAAGTGTCGAACGCCCGCTGGCAGGAGGTCACGGGGCAGACCCAAGTGCCACGGGTCGACTGACTGAGATGACTGGCTGATGCACCACCTGTGCCCCCTACTGTGCCAACCTGCTGTGCTTTAGCCATCCGGCGCTCCGCTCGTTGTTGTGAGCGTCGCTCCTCCGCCCTCCGTTGTTGTTGGATGGCGACTACCTCCAACTGCCCAGTAGCATCCTTCACGAGCCTCCTCCACAGAGGCCGATCTTGACACCGCTGGTACCGGTCATCGGCAAGTCCACTCAGCTCCACGTCCTCCTGTACCACATCACTCCATCTCTTCTCTAGCCCGTGACAAGCCCGTTTAGCCCCCTCGATCCGGCCGAACAAAAGCTGTTTCGGCATGTGGCGGCAGGGCATGCGGTGGCTGGGCATGCGGGCTACATGACCCAGCCATCGCAGCCTTGCCTGCTGGAGGAGCTCACCGATGGGACCTTGCCCAGATCTTTCAAGGATTTGTGAGCTCCTCACACAATCCAGCCTGGTTAAACCCAGGATGGATTGTAGGCAGGCCAGCCTAAATGTTTCGAACCGGCGAAGATGTTCCATTAGGGGGGTCCACGTTTCGCAAGCGTAGAGAAGGGAGGGAATGACCGTGGCCGAGAAGACCTGAAGCTTAGTTCGGAGCGACAGACCAGGTAGCTTCCACACAGCGTTACGCAAACGATGAAAAGATATTGCCGCTTGACTGATTCGGAGTGAGACCTCTGCTGTTAAACTGGAGCCGGTCATAAGCACACTGTCCAGGTAAGGGAATCTCTCCACTCTCTCCACAACTGCCCCATCACCGATTGGGAGTTGTGGGGGTGGAGTGTCCGATGGTACAACATACCCAGGCAGGTGCTTAGTTTTGGTGGGGCTGATGGTAAGGCCCCATCTCTTAGTGTCACGCTCCAGTCTCAGCAGCAGCGTCTCCAACTCCTCCTCTGAATGAGCAGTTATTACAAAATCATGGGCATACATAACGTGGTTGAGCAATAGGGAGCCATCCCTTGACCGCATCCGGGTATGTGTACCATATGGAGATTCCCACGGTACAGCTATTGAAGGCTTCACGAACTATGTGGTCAAAATAGATGTTAAATAATGTGGGAGCCAGAGGATATCCCTGTCGCACCCCAAGGTGTTCAGGGAATGGCTCTGACTCCCGGCCACGTAGTATTACCCGGGCCCGCTCACCATCATGAAGGTCCTTAATGATCGTGAGCAGAGGGTCAGGTACTCCAAAAGCACGAAGAACAACCCATAGCTCAGGCCTACTGATGGTATCATAGGCCTTGACCAGGTCAATAAAGCAGAGATGTAGGTCTTGCTGGAATTCCCAATTCCCTACATCTCTGCTGTAGCAGACGGACAGAAAATATGGCATCTGTGCAGGACCGCCCTTTCCTGAAACCGGATTGGAGCTCTGCAAGCCTCTCCTCAGCGTGCCTGGCAAGGCGATGTTGAATAATCCTTGCCAGGACCTTTCCCGGCACACTGAGGAGTGAGATGCCCCTGTAGTTGTTACAGTCTGTGCGGTCCCCCTTCTTAAAGAGGGGGACCACCAGGGCATCCTTCCAATCCTGCGGAACCCGTCCAGTGGTCCAGACTGTTGTTATGATGTTATGTCATATAGGGCAGTCTGTGCACAAACGCCACCCTCCCTCAGCATTTCACTTGGGCGATCATCTCTGCCTGCTGCCTTTCCTGGTCTCAGATTCCGGATCGCCATCAGTACTTCCTCAACAGATGGCACCTCAGCCAGCCACTCACAGGGGGTGACTTCTTACAATATTTGAGGCACTGCAGCCTCAGCAGGGTCATCCCCACTTTGTCCCACAATGTTTTCCTGGCTGAGGGATTTCCCCTCCCCCAGGACCTCACAGAAATGCTCAGCAAATCTGCAAACCTGTTCCTGGGGGTCGGAGATAGGATCACCGTTTTTTCCCCTATTAATGGTAATAGGTGTGGTGCTGCAGGTTACTTTTTTGAGGGAGTTAAATAGAGATTTGTGATCACGGGCCACTGAGGCAGACTCCATCTCCTCAGCAACCCGCGACAACCACCCATCCTTGCAGCGCCTCACGGCTCTCCGAACCTCCGAGCGAAGGCTGCGGTAAGCCTCCTCATTCTCTGACGTGGGATTCTGTAGCCGATGACAGTGGGCCTGTCGCTTTTTCTCAACCATCCTGAACACATCCTCTGTCAGCCAGGGTCTCTGGGGAGGTCTGGACCGCGTACCCAAAGCAGCCATTGCAGCTGCATGAGTCACAGTCCTAAACCTCGCCCATTTACCCTCGACATCAGGAGGAGTCGGGGACGATGCCAATCCCAGCCGCAAGCGATGATGAAATTCTCGCTTGCAACTTTCATCAGATAACTGAGACCAGGCCACTTTAGGTTGGAATGGGGTCCTGGGTGTACACCCACCACCGGAGTGGAAGAATGGCAGGCGCATCTTACAGATGACTAGTCGATGGTCAGAGGGCAGATCAGCTCCACGGTAGGTCCTGGTGTCAAGGACATGGGCTCGCATCCGCTGGTCCGTCACTATGTAGTCCAGCAGATGTTCTTGCTTGGACCCGGCATGCATCCATGATGTTGTGTGGATGCGCCGATGCCGGAACAGCAGTGTTGGTAATTACAAGCCCATGGGCTGCACAAACATCTAGCAGCCTCCTACCGTTGTTATTGAGCTGATCTGGCCCATGCCCTTCCAATCACTCCAGACCAGGTGCCAGCATCATGACCAACTCGGGCATTGAAGTCACCCAACAATGATGACTCTATCCCGAGGGGCCACTTTAGCCAGCACCTGTGACAGGAGGTCATAGAAGGCATCTGACTCATCAGCTTTGCCTGTATCCCTCCACGGATGTTCAGTCTTCGGTGGGGGCATAAGTAACCACGACCACCACTTCCTCGCCTCCGGTTGATGGGAAGGCGAGCCCAAAGTAGCCTGGGGCTTACAGCTTCCCACACCTCACCGCCACGCTCCCACGCCCCCTTCATTCTTTTGTTCAGAAGAAGAGCCCAGACCCTGTTGTTTGGCAGTCTGCTGCCCCGAGTAGAGGACTGTCCACCCCTCATGGTGGCAGGAGCCAGAGCCGGTCCACCGGACCTCCTGAATGCCGCATAGATCCAGGCGGTACCGGTCCAGCTCCCGACAGAGGAGTGGCAGCCTCTCCTCTGCAGTGAGCATTCGAACATTCCACGTGGCCACCCGTAGTGGCTTTTCTTTGTTTCTGGAGTAGCCCCGAGGGTAGGTATTCAATCTCCTGGCTCCGCCAATTGGGGTTTGGCCAGGAGACGTCATAGACGCCTGGCCCCCCGGGGCCTCCGGCACAAGCTTAGTTGTTACATATTTCAGTTTAATTCGTGGTTTCGTGGTAATTAATTGAAGGTGGAGGGGTTACCAGCCCCTCGCACCCGTCACACACACACACACTCACACACACGTACACACCTTCACTCACACACACACACTCACACACACATACACACCTTCAATCACACACACACACTCACACACACACATACACACTTTCACACACACTCATACACATACACACTTTCACTCACACACGTACACACATACACACACACTCACATACACACTTTAACTCACACACACACACGTACACACACACACACATACACACTTTCACTCACACACACGTACACACCTTCACTCACACACACACACTCACACACACGTACACACCTTCACTCACACACACACTCACACACATGTACACACCTTCACTCACACACACACACTCACACACGTACACACACACTCACATACACACTTTCACACTCACACTCATACACACCTTCACTCACTCTCACACACACACATACACACTTTCACTCTCACACACACACGTACACACGTACACACATACACACACAGACACACGTACACACACGCACACACATAGCTCACACACACAGCCACCCACTCACTCACTCACCCACCCACTCACCCGCCCACCCACTCACTCGCTCACCCACACACTCACTCACCCACTCACCCACCCACTCACTCACCCACTCACCCACTCACTCACCCACTCACCCACTCACCCACCCACTCACCCACCCACTCACTCACTCGCCCACCCACCCACTCACTCGCCCACCCACCCACTCACTCGCCCACCCACTCACCCGCCCACCCACTCACTCACCCACTCACCCACCCACTCGCCCACCCACTCACTCACTCGCCCACCCACCCACTCACTCGCCCACCCACCCACTCACTCGCCCACCCACTCACCCGCCCACCCACCCACTCACTCACCCACCCACCCACTCACCCACCCACCCACCCACTCACCCACCCACTCACCCACCCACCCACTCACCCACCCACCCACCCACTCACCCACCCACCCACCCACCCACCCACTCACCCACCCACCCACCCACTCACTCACCCACTCACCCACCCACTCACCCACCCACCCACCCACTCACCCACCCACTCACTCACTCACTCACCCACCCACCCACTCGCCCACCCACCCACTCACTCGCCCACCCACTCACCCGCTCACCCACTCACTCACCCACTCACCCACCCACTCACCCACCCACTCACTCACTCACCCACCCACCCACTCACTCGCTCGCCCACCCACTCACTCGCCCACCCACTCACCCGCCCACCCACCCACCCACTCACTCGCCCACCCACTCACCCGCCCACCCACCCACCCACTCACCCACCCACCCACCCACTCACCCACCCACTCACCCACCCACCCACCCACCCACTCACCCACCCACCCACCCACTCACCCACCCACCCACCCACTCACCCACCCACTCACCCACCCACCCACTCACCCACCCACCCACCCACTCACCCACCCACCCACCCACTCACCCACCCACTCACCCACCCACCCACCCACTCACCCACCCACTCACCCACCCACTCACCCACCCACTCACTCACCCACCCACTCACCCACCCACCCACCCACTCAGCCACCCACCCACTCACCCACCCACCCACCCACTCACCCACCCACTCACTCACTCACCCACCCACCCACCCACTCACTCACCCACCCACTCACCCACCCACCCACCCACCCACTCACCCACCCACTCACCCACCCACCCACTCACCCACTCCCCCACCCACCCACTCACCCACTCACCCACTCACCCACCCACCCACCCACTCACCCACCCACCCACCCACTCACCCACCCACCCACCCACCCACTCACCCACCCACCCACCCACTCACCCACCCACTCACCCACCCACCCACCCACCCACTCAGCCACCCACCCACTCACCCACCCACCCACTCACCCACCCACCCACTCACCCACCCACCCACTCACCCACTCACTCACCCACCCACCCACCCACTCACTCACCCACCCACTCACCCACCCACCCACCCACCCACCCACTCACCCACTCACCCACTCCCCCACCCACTCACCCACCCACCCACTCACCCACCCACCCACCCACTCACCCACCCACCCACCCACTCACCCACCCACCCACCCACCCACTCACCCACCCACCCACCCACTCACCCACCCACCCACCCACTCACCCACCCACCCACCCACCCACCCACTCACTCACCCACCCACTCACCCACCCACCCACTCACCCACCCACCCACTCACCCACCCACCCACTCACCCACCCACTCACCCACCCACTCACCCACCCACCCACTCACCCACTCACCCACCCACTCACTCACTCACCCACCCACCCACCCACTCACTCACCCACCCACTCACCCACCCACCCACTCACCCACTCACCCACCCACCCACTCACCCACTCCCCCACCCACCCACTCACCCACCCACTCACCCACTCACCCACCCACCCACCCACCCACTCACCCACCCACCCACTCACCCACCCACCCACTCACTCACCCACTCACCCACCCACCCACTCACTCACCCACCCACCCACCCACTCACCCACCCACCCACTCACCCACCCACCCACTCACCCACCCACCCACCCACTCACCCACCCACCCACTCACCCACCCACCCACTCACCCACCCACCCACCCACCTACTCACCCACTCACCCACTCACCCACCCACTCACTCACTCACCCACCCACTCACTCACTCACCCACCCACCCACTCACTCACCAGCTCACTCACCCACCCACTCACTCACCCACCCACCCACTCACCCACCCACCCACTCACCCACCCACCCACTCACCCACCCACCCACTCACCCACCCACTCACCCACCCACCCACCCACTCACTCACCCACCCACCCACCCACCCACCCACTCACCCACCCACCCACTCACCCACCCACGCACTCACCCACCCACTCACCCACCCACCCACCCACCCACCCACCCACTCACCCACCCACTCACTCACTCACCCACCCACTCACTCACTCACCCACCCACTCACTCACCCACCACCCACTCACTCACCAGCTCACTCACCCACCCACTCACCCACCCACCCACTCACCCACCCACTCACCCACTCACCCACCCACCCACTCACCCACCCACCCACTCACCCACCCACCCACTCACCCACCCACCCACTCACCCACCCACCCACTCACCCACCCACCCACCCACCCACTCACCCACTCACCCACCCACTCACTCACTCACCCACTCACTCACCCACCCACTCACCCACTCACCCACTCACCCACCCACTCACCCACCCACTCACCCACTCACTCACTCACTCACCCACCCACCCACTCACCCACTCACTCACCAGCTCACTCACCAGCTCACTCACTCACCCACCCACTCACTCACCCACCCACCCACTCACCCACCCACTCACCCACTCACCCACCCACCCACCCACTCACCCACCCACTAACCGGGTTCTTCATCAGCTTTTCCAGCTTAATTCGCTGCAGTTCAGCCACACTCCGTGGCACCACCACGGCCCCCGCCGCCGCCCCTTTGCCTCCTCCTCCACCTCCTCCACCTCCTCCACCTCCTCCAGCTCCTCCTCCACCTCCTCCTCCACCTCCTCCACCTCCTCCTCCACCTCCTCGCTTGCTCCCCCACGCTTCACGTGCCTCTCCCTCCATCACCTCCTCCTCCTCCTCCTCACCTCCTCCTCGTCAACCTGGGGAGAGGGGGTGGGTATTGACAGGGTAGAAATGTTAAAGACTACTCCTAGTTTACTACTACTAGTTTACTACTACTAGTTTACTACTACTAGTTTACTACTACTAGTTTACTACTACTACTAGTTTACTACTACTACTAGTTTACTACTACTAGTTTACTACTACTACTAGTTTACTATTACTAGTTTACTATTACTAGTTTACTACTACTACTAGTTTACTACTACTACTAGTTTACTACTATTACTAGTTTACTACTACTACTAGTTTACTACTACTACTAGTTTACTACTACTAGTTTACTACTACTAGTTTACTACTACTAGTTTACTACTACTACTAGTTTACTACTACTAGTTTACTACTACTACTAGTTTACTACTACTAGTTTACTACTACTAGTTTACTACTACTAGTTTACTACTACACTACTACTACACTACTACTACACTACTACAACACTACTACTACACTACTACTACACTATTACACTACTACTACTACACTACTACTACAACACTACTACTACACTACTATACTACCACTACTACACTACTACTACTACACTACTACTACACTACTACTACTACACTACTAATACACTACTACTACACTACTACTACAACTACTACTACACTACTACTACACTACTACTACACTACTACTACTAATACACTACTACTACACTACTACTACAACTACTAATACACTACTACTACACTACTACTACAACCCTACTACACTACTACTACTACACTACTACTACAACACTACTACTACACTACTACTACTACACTACTACTACAACACCAATACTACACTACTACTACTACACTACTACTACACTACAACACTACTACAACACTACTACTACTACAACACTACTACTACACTACTACTACAATACTACTACTACACTACTACTACAACACTACTACTACACTACCACTACACTA